ATTTCTCCCTGCAGAAAAAAAAAACATGGCCGAACTTCGTTTTATTCTCGGTGGAAAATGCCTATTTTAAAGTTAGTTTGGCCATTAAAATGCGTTTTGATGTCATTTGATGCCAGAAATATGAGTTGTTATTTCAGATTATATGTGCAGTGGATGTACATGATCTTTAGTTTGCTAGTTATTACGGAGATTACTTCAGGAAATTCCGTTTTCATTGTTACCAAGGTGGTTGCTAGGGACGCTGCTATCGATATTATTTCTGTTATGTTGTGTAACTGTTTAATGGTGTTATCTTTATTGCTACCCCCTTCCCCGTTAATGTATAGTGTTGGTCCACAACGCAAACGTATTAGTTTAACAAAATCCGCATCTAAAATTGTGGCATAGATAGCCAACGTTATTTTCCCCTGCGCAATTCTCCATTTACTCAACAATAACACATTATTATCCTTGTGTTTATTTATTTGTTTGATTAATAAACACAAGTTGGAGTCCGTCAGGACCGAGGGTCGGAGCAGCTCATTTGCTTTAGAGCAGGGGTGCCCACACTTTTTGGGCTGGTGAGCTACTTTTGAAATGACCAGCTCACCGAGGTCTACCAACCAAAAATAAAATCCCAAATTGCAAGGGTTGCTGAATAACACGTTTTATTTATACATGGGATAATAGGGCTGCAACAAACGACTAATTTGATAATCGATTAATCTATCGATTAATGAAACGACTAATCGACTATTCAGACTATTACTGTATGCCTTGCACAATTTCTCAAACACTCTTATTTAGCCATCAACTTTTAGATTTAGCTTGAGGTTGTTTTAGGCATGTGGAAACTAACAATGAAGACAATAAAGATTAATACTTGATTCAAAAATACATATATTATTAAATTAACAAATTGTTTACAAAATTAACATTGCTTTTTATTTAAATAAAATAAATAATATTTCGCATCAAAAGAAACAACAATGTTTTAACAAATCGTATTAAATAATCTGATGACAGAACTGTAAACAGAATAGCTGAAACTTTAACAAAATAAAGAGTAACTCAGTTACCTCTAATCATTAACCCATGTTTGAATCATTGAGTTAACTCCGTGTGTTGCTGCTAGCATACATAATAAGACCTGACGTGGAAACGTTACTCGTGGATGGGGCTACAGGGCTACTAGAAAGACAGTCGAGCCCGGTGCATTCCTCCGTCTGAATGTGGTGCACTTTTGATAAATGTTTAGATAAATTGCTCGTGTTACCACCCTTACATGCTAAACACTCTTGGCAAGCATTGTCCACTTCAAGACGGGTAACATTTAACCACACCTTGGAGCGCTTCTCTCCGCCATCCCCACCGTGTGTTGCTGCATGTAGCAGCCGCGTGTGTGTAAAATGCCCCGCCCCCTCGCACACAGACTGGGGAGAGAGATCTCGTCTGGATTGGAAAGGTCAAAAATACACCGACCATAGACGCATTTGTTTGTCTTTTTGCATGTTAGAAACGAGTTGGCGACACTAAGACTGCGAGATAATATTTGTGTAGCAATAATACATGACCTTTCTCAACTCGCTACTTGGAGGGAAGTCGCTGTCATATGCCTTGTGAACACTCCGATAATGCCTCTCCACGTTACCTTTCTTTGGCAGAGCGACGCTTGCTTTACAAATAAGGCAAATAACCTTTGAATGTGACATCACAAAAAAATATTCTTCCTCCCATTCTGGGTGGAAGTGGTATGTCTTTAGCTTTTTGCTCGGTCCCGCACTCATTTGGTTGTTTGTCTCTTGTTAGTCTCTTTAACTTAATTTGAGTTTTCCCGGGACTTGACTGATTTTGTATCGCTTTGCATTCTGGGTTAACAGACTGGAAAGCGATAGGTCGCTTTTTCTGTCAATCAAGTAAACTCCTGAATTAAGTGGTAGGGAGGCGGGATCAAAACCTGTTTTGTCTATTTTAACGGAACTGGATTTTTTTTTTATGAATGACTCGCGATCTACCAGCATTGCCCCGTACTGGGCACCTCTGCTTTAGAGAATATTACACCGGGAAGTAAGTATTCTCTCCGCTTCGCTTGACAAACCCTGTGATAGTCCTCAAGCTCTGGGATTGGAGAGTTTGCTCCGAGGGTTACGCCGAGCGTCGAATAGCACTTGAAATGGGATGGAACCACGGCAGACTGTCCAAAACTGGATTTGAACGGGTCCACCGCGTCCCCCCCTCCCCCACCCCGTCCCCAGAACTACACATGCTGGTTATTGTGTTTCGCAACATGTTCTCTATCTATGGCACGTCTCTACTGGGAGTTGTAGTTTTAAAAGACGTTTTCGTATTTCCCATAATAAGAAGTTGCCAGTATTAAACTGTGTACATCCCTGGAGGTTTAGGGGATAGGAAACACTCAAATTGAAAACATATAATTAATACATGGGTGAAAATTGCTTGTGCCCATTGTTATGGAAATAATTATCATAGACGCCAATTTGTAACATACAGGACAAACCTTGATGTCTGTTTACCTTCTTTAAGGACACAGGCGGCTTAGCCAATAATGTTATTGTTCCCATTCTGTGACCGGTCAATACTGGGATACAGATGGTCTGTGTTGTGGGTACACTGGGACATTTCCTTCTTTGTATTTGTGGACTCCAAGGTGAAATCTTCGAGGTCATAAGTGTCCGACGCAAGTAGCTCAGTGTTCCCACACTGTTTAGGCTATCTTCTCAAATATGTTGTTTACTCTCTGCGAAACCAGTTAGATGGGCTGGCAAGAGAGAGGCTCTCCAGAATTGACGTGGCAACTCTACCGTGGAGTCCGAACCTCTGACTCTTGGATTTGTGATGTGAATACTCTGGTACCAACTCCAAATAAATCACAGTGGTTTGACATCAAAGCTCCGACTCTTCCCGTGTCTCCTTCCTGAGTCGGTGACTCCATTGCATGCTACACAGAAGTTTCCTCTACACCCATAATGGGCAGCATTAATATATATACCCACATGCCAGCTAAGGTCAGAAGAGCTTTATTTAACAGCTGGTCTTATGTTTGTGACTACTCCTGTTGTTAATTGATAACATTACATTACATTACATTAATTGATAAGCCTGAAACATGCACTTGTCAAGGTTCAGACGCACATTTTGCAAATATGGCAGTAGCCATCGATCAGCTTAAGATAAGATATACTTTATTGATCCCAAGTTGGAAACATTTGCGTTACATCAGCATGTGTAACAGTTGTAAATATGCAGTGGTGTTTATTTACATCATTTAGTATAATCACACAAATTCTGTGTTCTTTATCTATTGATTGTTCAATACCTGACAAGGTCGGAGATGAAATATCTACATACATCTTATAAGAGTATAATATATATGTATAATATCAGTTAAAATAAGTGCTTCAACATAGTTAACATTGCTGGAGGTATGCATAAATATTGATAGATGTCTTGTAATGCACTATTGAGGAACCTGCGACCCAAGTTTTTCATTCAATGCAGAACTACACCATAGTTGTGTAGGCCTATATGGTATGTCAATAAACCTTAGAAAATCTTGAAAGGGATGTGCAAAATAGTCATTATATACAGTCTTTAATTAACTATTAGTAGAGAATAACGAGTAATGAATATACTTTATAGGGATCCTATTAATATCTAATAATAAAAATAATGAAATTCAATAACATGCTTTAACCACTAGATGTCCCTTTATATCAGCTGTGCACCGTTATGGTGTAAATACAGCCTATCTACCAATTGGATCAAATATAAAAGTCAGCCGAATTAGTGTTGATACTGCAATGAGACGTATTGTGTGAAAAGAAATGTAAGATGTTGTTTAATTACTGATATATTTATGATCCACCTCACGTTTTCAGTTCCTCATGTTTGTCTAGAAGTCTTCTCATCAGGGCTCTATAAATACAGAACTACGGCAGATATGTAATATTTAATGCAGCCGAACCGTGTATTACAATGCCGTTATGTGATGACTTTCAAAGAGAAAAGCAAGCACACTCGGAATAAAGTATTTTTTTTAAATGTTTTCGGTCTGTTTCCGGTATTTGTTTATGACGATGTGCTGTGAGATGTGAGACTGGAATTGCACAGGGGAAAATAACGTATCTTTAGATGCAGATTTTGTTAAACTAATACGTTTGCGCTGTGGACCAACACTGATCAGTTAGTTTTTAATATTAGCTACCTCTAGTGGATGAAATTGAAAATTACAACAGCGCACTCTGCTGGTCGTACAAAATTGGTCCACAGAACAGAAAATACTTATAAATACAACAATAGCGCATTATAGGCAGAATTACAATTATATGTGAGTGTTATAGATGGACACATACTTCATGATACACAGATAAGATTACATGTGGTTTCAAAATGTAAGATAAGAAACTTTATGCAATAGTCGTCCAACCTAGACTGTAGAATATTCAAACACCATATTGAGTTTAACACAGTTTATGACATTTTCATAATTGCATACACCTGTATGGAAGCAAACAAGAGACAGAAGTATTTGAATTTTATTAGACACCGAATGTATAGCATTGAAAATAATTACTTTGAAAATCATGTATCTAAATGTTTTTGCTCCGAATTTACCTATGTGAAATTAAAATGTAAAAATTCAAGTGAAAAAAAATTTGAATCTTCAAATTCCGATCCCAAAAATTCAAGTGAAAAAAATTCAAGTGAAAAAAATTCGACGTCAAAAAATTCGGTGTATAAAATTCGATGTCCAAAATTGCGATGCAGCATCATCCGAGCTACTCAGACAGGATAAGCAATCGAGTCCTAATGCAATCATACCGACTTCTGGCCTATCAGAGCACGGCTTTGTCAGTCATGTGATCACAACAACCCGGGAGAAAAATGACGGAGAACTGTGGGGCTCGCCGCTCGGGTAAGTAGTCAGTTTGTGCTGTTTATTTTACAAGCAGTGAGGGCTCGACAGCATTTGTATCTTACATTAGCTAGCTAAATGAGTGAAGTAGCCTTGTGCCTTGCTGTTAGCAATCTCCGTAGTTATCATTAATTGAAGTGTATCACAACGTTACTGTAGCTCTTTTCACGACACAGACACAGGTCGGTTCTTTAAAACGGGCGTTTATTTCTTGGGAGTTTTCATCCTGTAGCCTTCCCTCTTCCGTTACGCCGTGAGAACTACAACACCGAAATGACACGCATACATAGCCAACTACATTAGCATATTGTGCTACACATATGAATGAAAACAAGAAAATGAAAACACAAAACAAATACCTCGTTGGCCGCTTGTCGTGAAAGGAGATTAATTTAGTTCCTTTTCTGCATAACTTCGTCACAGACCTCCCGTCACACTAAACTTTATCACAGACCTCAGCAGAGCTTCAAAAAGACGTCAACCCACATGGAGTTGTACAGTGTAACAGCAAAACACGCAGTACCAGCACATGAACAAACATTAGTTCCTAGGCACAAGAAACACATACGCATATCGGCCCAAGATGTAAAACAAACTGTATTAAATCATGCCATATTTAACGATTATAAATAACATGAAATAAAGTATTCATTTATCCAATTGAACTATGACATTAACCTTGTTACTCCTTTTAATTAAGGCAACTTCGTTACATCATTTACACTCCCACCAAATCACTCATTAACTCAAATGTGGGATTTCGTTCAAACAAAATGCAAAGAAACAGTCAAGTGTTTTCAGTGTGTATGACTATACTCTCATGTATGGGACTTAAGTGGCGTGAAGTAAGGTGACTACCTTATGAATAGGTCTTTCGAGGTAGACTAATCTAGTGTGTGGTTTTCCTTTATCAAGTGTAGTGTTACTGACTAGTAACTTTAGCTTTCGCACCAAGCCGTCTGTTCCAGGGTGAGTTTCTACAACTCTGGCGAGCTTCCACTCATTTCTTGGTAGGTTGTCGTCTCGCAGAATGACAATGTCATCTACTTGTGAATTTTGTGATGCCTTTGGCCATTTCTGCCGCTGTTGGAGGTTTAGCAGGTATTCTCGTTTCCATCTTCGCCAGAACTCATTGGCTAAGAACTGCACTCTTCTCCATCTCTTGCGCAGATAGAGGTCTTCTTTACAGAACTCTCCAGGAGGGGGCAGAATAACTGATGACTTCATGGTTATTATGTGGTTGGGAGTGAGAGGCTCTGGACCAGTAGGATCGTGGAGGTGTTCAACACTTAACCGTCTGCTGTTAATTATTGCCATTGTTTCGTAAAGGAATGTTCTCAGAGTTGTGGTGTCTAGTCTGCTTGCAGACTTGTCTAACATGACTGTCAGAATGCTTCGAATCGTTCTGATTTGGCGTTCCCAGACTCCTCCCATATGGCTTGCTGAAGGAACATTCATTACAAATTCGCAATCAATTGCTCGTTGACGTTCCTGATCCATTCCTTTGAGCAACTCAGAAAACTCCCTCCTGGCACCAATGAAGTTTGTTCCTTGGTCGCATCGTAATTGGCGCACAGGTCCTCTGATTGCTACCATTGTTCGAAGTGCATTCATGAAGGCATCTGTCGTCAAATCGTCTAGCGTCTCTATATGCACCGCTCTGGAGCATAGGCAGGTAAACAACAATCCATATCGTTTTACCTCCTTTCTTCCTTCCTTCACAATAAAGGGACCAAAACAATCTATACCGCAGTAAGTAAACGGAGGGGATGTCTCAGTTCTGTCCTCTGGCAGATCGGCCATTTGTTGAGTCTCTGTGGTTCTTCTGTATTTCCTACATTTTACACACTTGTAGATGTGTGATGAAACTACATTTCCACATCCCAGGATCCATATTCCATTCGCACGTAACTCATTCATTGTCATGCCTCTTCCTTGGTGATGTACACGCTCATGATGATGTTTGACGAGCAAGGCGGACACATGAGCTTTCTTCGGAAGTATTGCAGGATGTTTTATGTCATGATGTAAGGCTGATTGAGATAGCCATCCTCCCACCCTAAGAACATTGTTCTTGTCCAGGAAGGCATTCAACAGGTGTAGCTTGTTGTGCTTGTTCAAGGTGCTTCCCTTTTGAAGCTGAACTGTTTTAATTTCTTCGGTGAAGGCCTCTTCTTGCACCAGCTTGATAATAAAGATTTCTGCTTCTCTTCTTTCTGCAAGGTTAGTTGCTTCATTAGTTCTTGGCTGAAGTCTCCTGGATTCTCTGACAAATCTCTTGAGTCTTGCGACAGCTCTCACTGTCCTGGACCAGTCAGAAAACTTAGAGAAGCGGTTCAACAGTGAATTTTCTTCCTTAGTTTTGACTCTGTGAACATGAACTTTGCGAAGTTCAGGATCGTTTGTTTCCACTGCTCTCACCTTCTCTTCACATGGAAGGTTCAGCTGGAAAAGAAAGTCAGGTCCTTTTAGCCAGTTAGACTCTTTGAGCTGAACTGCGCTCAGCCCCCTTGAGGCGTAGTCGGCTGGGTTATTTTCAGAGCTAACATGTCGCCATTGTTCAGGGTTGGTGCTAGATCTTATGCGCTGGATACGGTTGGCAACAAACGTGTGGAACCTCTTGGCATTGTTGTTCAAGTAACCAAGGACTACCTTTGAGTCAGTCCAGTAATATTCTTGCAGGTTTTCAATCTCCAGCTCGCGTTTGATGACATCACCATTGCGTACTGAAGTCACAGCTGACGACAACTCAAGTCTTGGGATAGTCGTTAGTTTGGTAGGGGCTACTCTTGCCTTCCCCATGATGAGTGAGCAATTGATCTGACCTGTTTTGCTTATAGCTCTGAGGTAAGAGCATGCACCGTAGCCGTTGGTACTTGCATCTGAAAGGTTATGCAGTTCATATTGTTTGACCTCGCCAAAGCTTGATGGAAGATAACATCTTGGAATTTTTAGGGTTGCCAAGTGAGATAAACCTCTAAGCCATGACTCCCATTGTGGCAGGATATGAGCAGGGAGAGCTTCGTCCCAGCTCACTCTGTCCCGACATAGAGTCTGAAGGATTTGTTTTCCGAGGAGCACAAAGGGGGCCACAAATCCAAGAGGATCAAAGACAGAGGCAACGGTTGAGAGAACTCCGCTCCTTGTCAGTGGATTTTCCTTAACCACAACTCTGAATTGGAATTCATCTGCTTCAACACACCACTGAACTCCAAGTGCTCGCTCAATATGAAGTTCTCCAAGAGTTAAGTCTAGATCCTTGTTTTTGGCAAGTTCTTCAGGTGGTATTGCAGCAATCACCTCTTTGTCGTTGGATACGAACTTGTGAAGACGAAGATTTCCTGTTCTGCACAAGGCTCTTGACTCTTCAACAAGACAGATGGCTTCAGCCGGTGACCTTACACTTATTAGGCCATCGTCCACATAGAAGCTTCTCTGTATAAACTTGATGGACTCTTCACTGAACTTCCCATGATCCTGGGATGCCAGATGTTTGAATCCAAAGTTGGAGCAGCCAGGGGATGACGCTGCTACAAACAGGTGCACTCTCATCCTATATACTGAAGGTTTTGAGTCCAGGTCGCCTTTGTCCCACCAGAGAAACCTTAGGTAGTTTTGGTGTTCCTTTGTGACATGAAATTGGTGGAACATCCGTTCAACATCGCACATTATGGCTACCGGACCCTTTCTAAATCTACATAACACTCCAATGAGCGTGTTTGTCAGGTCGGGACCAGTCAAGAGATGATCGTTTAGAGAGGTTTCTTGGAAACGTGCTGAACAATCAAAAACCACACGGATTTGTCCGGGTTTGTGGGGGTGGTAGACTCCGTGGTGCGGAATGTACCATGATATTTGGTTGTTGAGTTCAGACTCTGGAACCTTCTCAGCATCGCCTCTGGTTATTATGTCATTCATGAAATGAACGTAATCCTTGTAATACTGTTCATTTCTCCTTAGTCGTCTTTCCAATGAGATCAGTCTGTGAACTGCAGATCGTTTATTGTCAGGGAGATGAGGGTTATCCGATTTGAAGGGAAGAGGGAGTTCATAGTGGCCGTCTTCTCTTTGGCGGATACCTTCCTTCACTTTAGACAAGAAGAGAAGGTCCTCCTGAGACACTTGGTTATCATCTGTAGTGTGTTCAGTGAAATCCGACTCGAGAACCTTGAGTATGTCTGTTGGATGGATCTCTTTGACTTGAGTTTTGCACACAAAGTGTACTTCTCTCTTCAGCTGAATTGCTGGCTGGACAGCAGGTGTTACTTGTCACACTACGATTCTGTGACTAGTTCCTATTGTGTCACAGTAATCCTTTGCTGGATTCGAGCAACCGACGATACTCCAGCCAAGATCCGTCTGCTGTGCATATGGATAATTGTCTTTACCGGATAGGATCTCTCTTGGAAGAAGGGCTTGCTGACAGTTATATCCGATTAAAAGACCTACTTCGCAATCCAATGGTGGTGGAATCTTGTCTGCCAACTGTTCCAAATGTGGCCATTTTAGAGCTGTCTCTGAGGTAGGAATGTGTGACCTGTCAACTGGAATGAACTCTCTTGTGAAAATAGGTGGCAAAGGAATCATTTTTTCCAGGTCGTATCCCCTCACTTGAAGTTCTGTCAGTTTCTGACAGGGTATGACTGTTGACTTTGTTGACATTGTAGATAGCCGCAAACGAACATTTTCTTTGTTTGTGTCAAGATTTTGGGCCACTTCATCTAGAATGAAAGTCGTGTCACTCTGTGTGTCCAAGAGTGCGTAGACAAGAACTTCTTGTTCTGGCTGTTTTGTGGATGAGACCCAGACTGGTATGATTGCGGACGTTTGTGTGCTTGGGCCTTCTTGTATGACTCTGTTGGTGGTTGCAGCGATTTCTTTGGTGTCTGTTTTGTCCATTGAGATGTCGTCTCCATTAAAAGGTAGTTGACATTTTGCCTTTGAACTTGTCGTCATGCAAACACGTTGGATGTCTCCTCTGACACTTTTCACATGTGCTTTTGTCATTGCACGCCTTTGACTGATGACCAGTATTCAAACATCCAAAGCATAGCCTTTCTGCATACACAAACTTGATGCGATCTTCAACTGTCTTTTCTACAAACTTTCTACACTTTGGGAGGACGTGTCCTGTTCCTTTGCAAAGGATGCATGTTGGGATGCTACTTTGTGTTGTGTTTGTGGACAGTGTCTTTGCTTGAATAGTTTGGCTTCTTGGATTCTTTGTTTTTTCACTTTCGACACTCCTGATAGCTTGTATCGAGGATATGGGATCACATGCGAGATCTGCTTCCTTTGATATGAAATCTACAAACACTTTGAATGGTGGGTAACCACCATTTGCATGTCTGGCCTCCATTGCTTTTCGGTTCCAGCCGGATACCAACCAATCTGGCAGTTTCATCAATATTTGTTGACTCTCGTTGCAGTCATTCAGTACTTCTAATGTCTTAATGTGGGGCATTGCAGCCTCACAGCTCTTAAGGAAGTCTGCAAATTATCTTAGTTCGCTGCCATCTTTAGAGCTTATCTTTGGCCATCCATGTAGCTTGTCTCTGAAGGACTTCCCAATAATAAATGGGTCTCCAAAACGTTTTTCTAACAGCTGCCAGGCAGAGTCATATGCTGCTTCGGTGCCTAACAGGAAGAATCCTTCTACTGCTTTCTTTGCAGCACCTCCTATGTACTTTCTAAGGTAATACAGTTTTTCATTCTTTGGAATGTTTTTCCTGTCTATTAAAGTTTCAAAGGATAGTTGCCAGTCTTTGAATTTCAAAGGATCTCCTGTGAATAATGCAGGCTCTGGTGTTGGAAGGTGATTTGCACTTATTGCTTCTGCTAGTATTTTTAACCAAGTCAGCACTATTCTGCATCTGAGCTAAGGGCATTGAGGTTGGTAGAGCTTGTGGTACTTGCTGTGGACTGTGGAGACTATAAGCTTGACTTGCAGGTTGTAGAGGTTGAGGTATGAACGGAGGACTTGAAGCATTGATGACTTGTGCCGTTACTGGCTGAGACTGATAAACGAATGGTGGAGTTGTGGAGTACAGAGCTTGGGTTTCTCTAGCTGGTTCAACATCATACAGTGAGTCGATTGCTTCATAATTTTCTTCCATTCGATTGTACACCTTGACTCGAGCTCTTGCGGCTTTCAGCTTGTTAACCTCTTCTAGGCGTTCAAGCTTTCTGCGCTTTTCTTGCATTGCCTGAAGTCTGGCTTGCCTTTCGAACTCAAATTGTGCCATCTGTTTTTTATCTTCAGTCTCCAGCCTTTGAAGTTCTGTTGCTTCCTTTTCTTGTTCACCTAAAACTGCTAGGACTTCCTGAGATGCAGCGGCTTCAGCTGCAGCTTCAAATCTTTTGAGAAGACTAGAATGAGCGGAGCTACACTTTGATCGACAAGACAGTGGAGATAATGAAGAGTCAGTTGAGTTTAGAACAGATCCAACATTGGGCCAAGATTCTTCCTTTAAGTCTGCTGTATTCTCTTCAAGCTGTCTCTCTGCCTTTCGAATAATAAATCCTGAGAGTGATATGCATGTATCAACTCTGCGTCGCAGGTTCGGTTCAGGAGTATGTATGAGACGTAACTCTTCATACAAGGCTTTTACATCTGAGCAAGAGCTTTTTATATTTGCAATAAGCTCTCTCAATTCATCCTTGGAGGCGTCATCATTCAGTATTTCTTTGCCTATTCTCACATGGTACCTCCATTTCTCATAGACGATTCTGTAGTGACGTTGTACACTTTTCAACTTTTCAGCTTGGAGTTCTTTTCCTTTTTCTGTTAGTGTTCGATTTCTTTCACTTCTTCGTAGCTCTTCCACTTCTTCTGCCAACTCTGTTTCTGTTGTTTCAAGTTGAGCAGATGATTTGGCATTTTTGTGGCAGGTCTCAGTCCCTGCTTCTGACATTTTGAGATGACTTAATAACTTATAACCGACTGTAATAGAGCATGTGTAACTACTAAGCTTGAATTGGATCTCTGAATGTATACATAAGTAATCAGTGAGGTTATCAAATGTATGCACTCATTAACAAGTTTAACTTGACCTCAGCTTTACAACAAAATAACAACAAGAATAAGATTTAGCTTGTTACTAATAAACCTTAAATGTAGTGAAATATGCTTAGAAAGGCATTACATCACTTATACTTTACAAAGAAAATGTTTTTGTTAGTGGAATGACCCTTTAAAGCTCAAGTAAAAATGGTCCTTTAAGTGTAATACCTTTCATAAAATGTGAAAACGTTCTTCTTTTTTAACTTGAACTTATAAATAATATCTTCTTTCTTTAATATTAACTTATAATTTCTTTACTTTCTTATATGATTAATTTTCGTCTTTAAACCCTTTGACATGTACCATTCATGAACACCAACACATTAGCTTCATCACCAGCATAGGCTTAGCATAGATGATAGACCTGAGTCCTTATTTGCAATTTCCAGATTAACCACTTCTCACACCACCTTTAACTTGAAGGATGTGGTAGAGCACTTCCTGGCTTTATCCTGAAATGTTGCGACTTTGACACAGTCTAATCACCGTAGCTTGCGGTCGTCATGCCGACAGTGCACCGCTGGCGTTGCTTCTCTGATGTGCTGGATGGTCCTTGAACGCAGCGTCGTCTCTCGCTCCAGTCTCGTTGTCTTTCCCACCCGCGCTGAGCAGGCGAGTTCTCACTGTAGCTCTTTTCACGACACAGACACAGGTCGGTTCTTTAAAACGGGCGTTTATTTCTTGGGAGTTTTCATCCTGTAGCCTTCCCTCTTCCGTTACGCCGTGAGAACTACAACACCGAAATGACACGCATACATAGCCAAACACATTAGCATATTGTGCTACACATATGAATGAAAACAAGAAAATGAAAACCCAAAACAAATACCTCGTTGGCCGCTTGTCGTGAAAGGAGATTAATTTAGTTCCTTTTCTGCATAACTTCATCACAGACCTCCCGTCACACTAAACTTTATCACAGACCTCAGCAGAGCTTCAAAAAGACGTCAACCCACATGGAGTTGTACAGTGTAACAGCAAAACACGCAGTACCAGCACATGAACAAACATTAGTTCCTAGGCACAAGAAACACATACGCATATCGGCCCAAGATGTAAAACAAACTGTATTAAATCATGCCATATTTAACGATTATAAATAACATGAAATAAAGTATTCATTTATCCAATTGAACTATGACATTAACCTTGTTACTCCTTTTAATTAAGGCAACTTCGTTACGTCATTTACAGTTACTGTGTCCTTTTGTGTGCGTGTGTGTGTGTGGGGGGGGGGGGGGGGGGGTTGACGGTTTGCAAAGTAACATAACGATCACTTCGGTTAGATAAGTCAAGTAGACCATGCTACACTATACGAAATACTCTCTTGCCAAAGCCCTGCATTTAAACATGTTAATGTTACTTTAGTAAAAGTATGCTAGTATAATTATTAAAGTGTTGTTAAAGTATTTAAAGTAGACACAAGTTATACTATTATATTATATCATTTGTTTTATTGTTATTACCGATGCAAGAGTTGACTTAACTGTTGTAGTTGGAGCTCATTTTGAACAATGAGCTAACTAATGATTACTTTCATAATGGTTTAATGTGCCGACTATTTTCTACATTAATAGATCAAGGTCTGGTTTGTTCAAACTCAAAATAGTAGGACATGCTGTCATAATTACCCAGAGTCCGAAGTGACACCTTTACAATGTTAAAGCTGTTAGATAAATGTAGTGATGTAAAAACTAAAATATTCAAGATAGTGTAGTGGAAAAGAGAATGTTTTTAAAACATGTTACTAAAACAAAATCTCTTGTTTTGGACTGACAGTAATGATTCAAGAAATAGTAGATACATACACACACATCAATCTGTGTGCATTTGTTGTGGATGGAACACAACAAATGGTGCTCTTACCTGTGATGCCTCCTCCAAACATTATAACCATACTGTATCATTCAAACTATAAGTAACAGTTCTAGCTACTTGACTTTAGACAAACAATTCAAAAGACAAAATCAACACAATTTATTGAAAGACCAATCTTTATTTTACAGTGCCTCTCCTTTTGTTTGTATTATTAAACCCTGTCAATCTAAAAAACTGAGCAACTCAACAGTTAACTTTATATTTCTTATTGTCCAAAGCATCTATTACACTATTTGTTCCCCTCTCATATTCACAGGATGGATGATTAGAGACCTTGGGGGAGACCTCAGCTTTATGAACGTCCTGTCTGTTGCTTTGGCCAGAGAGGGCTGAGGGTCTTTCCCTGCAAGGAGGACCAGAGGCCTGTACTACGAAGCTGGTTCAACCTAACCTGGATATGTTTGAGTTAGCCGGTTGGCCTAATCCAAAACATACGCGCTCTCGCTAAACGGTACTACGACGCGGGTTATCAAGTGGATCGCTCAAGCCAGCCGTGTCCTATCTAGTTAGGTGCGCGTTCACATGAAAGGGGTGGTATTTGGAGCATTCGACCAATCACAAACATGGACAAGCGTACTGACAGCGCAGCGTCATACTTCCTGAATGAAAATTCAACTATATAATTAGACAAATATGAAGACGTTAAACTTTAAACATCCATGACTTAAACACTTTATCCAGGATAAAAGCTACAAAGCTGCACCTGCAAGGTGAATACAGCTGGTAAAAGAAAACGTGTTTGAATGCGTACATTAACAGGTTTATGATATCACTGCCCCGTCTAAGACATGAGTGGATCAGACTTTAATTACATTTGTCTCGAGTGTTTCCTCAACTTAATGTGTTGCTTAAAATAATACTTTTGCATACAGTATGTGACTCTGTGAGTGTTGCACGGCCAGATACGGCTCAGCTGACTCAGATAAGGAAATAAATGATACATTATGATGTGACATGCCGCGGACTGTACTTAATGTTACTCTGATCCGGTTACTTATGTTGTGGCAGATATTTAAGTAAGCTTTCAACCAGGTTAGCCTGGTCCCGACCAGGTTAGCCGCACAGCATAAGTTACCATGGAGATCTAGCCTGCTAAAAAGAGAACCAGCGTCGTAGGACCGGAAACCCCGAGTTTTCCCTGAAGTTAGCCGGCTAAGCTAAAATGCTGCTTCGTAGTATACCCCCCTGGCCTGAGGGAGGAGGACCTGCACCAGCTGCACCTACAGAACTTAGCCCATGCTGGGCACAGGTCTAGCCTGTCACTTTATTTGACAAAATGTGTTTACTTAATCAATTAACAGATTAACATTTAGTTTAACTTATGTATATTATTTCGTTTTTATTTAAAAAAAATTGTGATGGTTCATGCTTGATAACTTTTAGTTCACATTTCAATAAATTGTATTTGTACTCCTTTTGTCAGTTATTCTTACTGAAAATGTTAAGTTACACATTCACATCTGACTGAAGATTGGCACCATTTATTTGGGTATATCCAGTCTCTGATAGTGTTACGTTATTATGAGAGTGCTCTGTTTGATTCTGAAATTGTATATATTTATATAAATATATACATAGGCTATATGTGTGTGTGTGTGTGTGTGTGTGTGTGTGTGTGTGTGTGTGTGTGTGTGTGTGTGTGTGTGTGTGTGTGTGTGTGTGTGTGTGTGTGTGTGTGTGTGTGTGTGTGTGTGCGCGCGCATCTGTAGCCTGTTATTGTCTCATTATACCGCACTGTCAATGAATTTAAATTAAATATTTAAGTCGTCATGAACACATCTGTCCATCAGACAGTGCTGTGCCTCCTGTCATCATTAATGGACGTCTCTTTTCTTTAAAATGACCGCTCAGAGGAGAGGAGTTCTCATTTCTCTAACCGCCTGCTGCTTCCCCTCCTCTCTCCTTGGTTCCCCTCCTCGACTCCTCCGCTCGCATCTCCTGTGGGCGGGACTAAGTCTCGAGGAGGGGAATTAGTGAAATGAGAAAGGGCCTAAGTGTCTCTTAAAAATCTCATCACATCAGCTTTTCCTTTCCCTCTTGGATGTTCTTCTGGACCCTCAGAGAAAGAGAAAATGGTGAAGCAGTCCTGTCTCAGGCCTGTGCTTTCCTAACAGAAATATCAAAACACATATTATTGCAGAGCAAGTGTGTTATTTAAGAAAGAGGTGTGTTGTTTCTTCAGGGCCTATAAATATAATGATTTTCTTATTTGAATGTGTTTTTTAAATCCAACCGTGTACTAAAATAATCAGATTATGAATAAACCGTTCTAAATTCATCAACATTGAAATAAATGTATTATTAAAATAATATTTAACTGTTATCAAAACTTAGTGCAACTGTAGAAGCTTGCTCTGTTCGGTTGTCTCACTGAAAGAATCAACATGTTTTACAGTCAGTATGCAGAGGCAAAGGGTCGCAGCTCTCACTATGTTCAATAATATTTGCCTTAAATACATTGAAATGTGAAAGTTGAACAAAAAAGTGATGTTGCTTGGTAAAATGTAAATATAACCTTTTGCTAAGAAAGTACACTCAACATCACTGATGTGTAGGTGATCTAGTATTCAGTCATGTTTAATGGCATGTATATCAGTGTATTAGAGTCATTACTTTATGCATTCTTTGTAAAGTATGAAAAAGGTGTACCTTGGAATCCGTGCTGAAGTTCTCTGCTAGGAGTCCAGATCTGTCTCTCCTCCTCTGGTCCAGCCTGTCTGGATCACCTTAAGACACTTTGAACAAACAGATGTAAAGTTACATGCGTGGGTTACAGACTTCTTTACATGCAAACAACTTTGTATCTTCTTTTAAAAACAGGTCATAATCATGCCTAAACAGCGGCATTTTACACGATAAATACGGGTTTAAATAGCTGCATTTGCCACGGAAGGCGAGTGGCAGCTACAGTCATAGCCGCGGGAAGTAGGGGTGCTGGGGGTGCTGCAGCACCCCCTGTTGGCGAGTGGTGTACATTTGAAAAACTGAGTGACCACCTAAATAAAAATGATTAAACTACATAAAATAGTTATGATTTTACTTTAAATAAAATTAGCTGTATAATGTAATAGTCATAGTATATATTTGTATCAGTCAGGTGGCTTGTATTTATTTTCCAAATAAATAAAATCCGAGTCATCTAGGTCGTGGGAGAGTGACGTAATTGACGCGACACACACACTGCAGAGTGACAACTTTCTAGAATCGCGCAAAAAAGGATTTTGGATTTTTTTCTCCAACAAACAACCCAATAAAAAGAGTGGACCACCAGCTACTCCTCAGCCCACCACCTCTACAACTAGAGTAATATGACACAGAAGAGACTGACACATCTGACTTTGATGCATGTCCACAGTAACATGTTGGACAATGTGGATATATCTGCTCTAATGAGGGTCTTCATTAGTGCCACCCCAGGCTACATTTGGAGTTTTGTGAAGCCCCAACACAAGGTAAGACGATTTTTCCTTTAATGCTGCTGCCGCTGTGCAGTGTTTTGCCTTGTCAATCAGCAGTTAAAATTGAATTCATAGTTTTATTAATATTGTAAATAATATGTTCTGACTATTTGTAATGTTATGTAGTAAGACCCATAGTTAGCATGTGGGCATGTGCAGCTGTTGCTAAGTGATGTAGGTCTATAATGGTTTATTAAGCCTAACAGTTAAGGCGAGACACCAGGTGAATAGGGTAATTTTTTTTAACTTAAAGATATCAGCTAGAAATGTCTCCAGTTAATTACCTACAATAAGGCAATTGTTTCTTGTTCTACAAGTTTTCTGAATATGCAAATGAGCCATTATCTCATTAAATTTGCGCATATTTTAACAAATTTCAGGAACCGAAATCTGAACTTTGGATAAAGCCAGGTTCAAAATTCTCGTTTCATTTTGTAGTCATATTAGCATCTAAGGCTTTTACAGAAGGGATTTTGGATATCTCTTTTTATCACTCCATAAATCAGAAAATACTGTCAACAGCCCTAAAATATCAATTTCCGCCATGTTTCTAGGTATAAAATCTTATATAATTCAGGCTATGAATGACATATGAACAAACCCTTCTGTAAAAGCCTTCATAATATTGATAGGAATATAACTGGAAGGTTTGGTGTATGTAAGTGCTACTGAAGTTGAAATTTCGAACTCAGAGTAGGAGAAAAAACTCATTTTGAGAAAACGACCTTTAAAGATTGCAGTGAGGCGCTAGCTAAACCCTCCTGTTCTTTGGATGACAGCTTGTGCCTCGACGCACTCCGTGAAGGTATTTCATGTTTGGGGTCATTTGTTTTTTGTATAACCTTGCTTCG